TGTCGAATTATCCCCTTGTGATAGGTCGACGTGTAGTATGTCACGCTGATCCTCTGTCTCCTGAATTTCCTTCTTACTTTTTTCTAATGCTTCCTCATCAGTTATCCAACCTGTGGGAGGGGGCATTATTCTTGGAGGTGACCCATACTTTTCAGAGCGAGGTACTCTCTTCTTCCTTTTGGGTGTCCCGTATAGTACGTAGAAGTCGAAAGGACGCCCAGATGGCTCCCCCAACAAGTCTACTTCGTGAACTTCCTCTTGGTGTAGTTGCTTAAACAGAGTATTGCGCGATACTCCCCTCTTTTTCCTTTCTGCTTCTAGGTCGATTTCTTCTTCAATGTCTATCATCCCATCGTCCTCTTCATTGTTGTAGGCCTCTCCAGAAGTCTGGCCTTCTTCACATACCAGCATGCAGGCTTCTCCTTCGTTGTCCTCCCTCTCTTCTTCCTTTTCTTTATTCTTGAATTCATTGGCCAGTAGGTAATTATTGGCCACGACAGGAGGTAACGTACCGAATTGGATAGCAAAGGGTTGATCTGGATCTTCTTCATCCTTTTTGTCCCTCTCAAACCTTGATCTCCCAGAAGAGGTTTCTGGCAGTTCCTTCATTGATTCATCTGTACCAGTCTCTTTACTACCTTTGAGGACGTTTTGATTGGCTACCTTGAGTAGTAGAGGCGCTTTAGGATGTGGCATTCCTTGTTGCTGCCTCATCATCCGTCCGTAGTTTCGCTGGAAATGCCTTTGTTGGGTCCTAGTCATCTCATCGAAGGGTATTGCCCTTCCTGCGCTGTACTGGAATGAATGCCACACATTTGGCCGGCGAGGTTGCGGCCTAAATGTTCTTCCAGTATCTGCTGGTCTGAACTGCCTTTCAAAAGGCGGTCCTCTATAGAATGATGTACCTCGCCCTCTACCAGGCTGAATGTTTGGGAAGAAGGCAGTGCGATGAGGATGCTGCCATGTCCCTAGTTTCTCCGTGTCTCCATTTACTTCCCTTTTACACCTTGCACACAGGACGTTTTCGTCCTTTTTTTGTTCTTTCCCTTTGATTCGTTCGAAGACACTGGGATGTGTTTTAGTATCCTCTTCTCCATTATCTATGACCAACTTGAATTTTGGCAACTTGTTCTTGAATCCAGACGTTACCATGTTTACCCCAAGTGGCTGTGGGAAAGGATTCTCGTCCACTTCCATCTTTTTCTTATCATCGAACGTAATTCGTCCTGATTCAATAGCATCCTGCAATACGTGACGGAAAACCAAGCAATTGTTAGTCAAATGTGACCATACATTATGCCACTTACAATATTTTTTACCCTTTATTTGTTCAGGGTTTGGTAATTTGTGTTTATCGCTCAACTTTATTTGCTTATCCCTATATAATTTATCGAATATAAGATCAGCTTTGATCACATCGAACGAGAACGTTCTAGCCTTTATGTTTCCATCCTTTATGGGCTCATCTTTGCCCGATGGTCTAGGCTTGGCCATTATGGGACAAGTATATGTATCCCCTTTTACCAATTCGGCCAAACACATTTCGGCCTGATCGTATGATTCGTCGTCGATGGTATGAACGTCAAAATTTGGGTTTCTGTAATAAGTCCCTTTACTAGAATTTTTCATTTGTTCTTCTTCTCTTATCAGTCGTTCATACCTAATCACATTCACACTCAACTGGAAAAGGTCAGGAAATTTCTTGTCCTGGAACTTCTTTTTTAAATCAAAACTCAAACAGCCTTGTGCGATCTTGACAAATTCTTTTTCGGGCAGAGGTACAAAACACTTGCTTCTTGCTGTTTTGAACCTTTGGAGAAAACTTTCTGCCCATTCATTTGACATTTGACGTCGATTTGCCAAATCAGCTAAAGTGACTTCAGACTCAATTTTATAAAACTGAGTGTGAAACAACTGTTCCAGTTGTTGCCATGTTTGAACAGAGTTCGCTGGAAAGTTGATGAACCATGAGAAAGCTACTCCTGTTAACAAACTAGGGAAAAGTCTCATTTTATGGTAATCGGTTACATCACCACTTTGCAACGTGAATCGCCCTATGTGTTCTAGAGTAGACACCTCTCCTAAACCGGTAAACAGTAAGAATTCTGGCACTTTGTACCCTCTAGGCCATGGATATGCTTGGTCTACCCAATCAGGATATGGTTTTGTGTACGTCGGCCTAATGACAGGACGCACCCCAAAAGCCATCTGATCCTGCACGATTTCCATAATCTGGTTCCTCAGCATGACATTGGGATCATATGGAATTCCTACAGGTTGATTAACCGGTTGATTTGCATGAGGTCTGATGTTTGGTCCTTGATTGGCAACAAAATTACTATAATTAGGGCCATTACCGTTAGCCTGGACATCTGTTCCCTCATTACCACGTGGAATATTCTGTCTATTGTTTAGGACATTATCTCTCACGTTTGAATTACCCCCCAAGTTAGGCATGCCACTACCATTGTTTTGATTTGGCACTGTAGTACCCCTTTGGTTTGAAGTAGAGGGACCAGAAAGCGATTCTATCCCTTGATTCGGATTTAGGACAGAGGGGTTATGTCCCACAATTGTCCTGGTTTGAAAGTGGTTTGTAAGAGGTATAGCCGGTTGATATATTTGGCCTACTAACTTATTCATTGTTTCGTTTAACGTCTTTAGCTGTTTGGCCATATTGTCATAGTGTGCATTTCCATTTTGTGTAAATCTTTCCATATTATGAATACTTCGAAGATTTACCTGTTCAACGACGTCTTGCGTGAGTTCTCCAAGCAATGCACGCATGGTTCGAGGACTCAACTCCGTCATTGGTTCGTAACGACTGTTACTGCTCTGATTTTGTCCATCTGTTCGTGGAGAGGCATGCTACTCCTCATATCGCTCGATTACAGACTGGATTCCTCCCTGACTTGCTCCTTCCTTATCGGATCTCTGAGGCATATTGTTTCACCTTTTGTATTTTCAACACCTAACACCACTGTCCCACTGGGCGTGCCAAATTGTTTCGCGCGGGTTAAGTCGCTAACAATTAAAAAGGATCAGACGATTGTGTAAGAGACGAAACCTCTTAAGACAAAGTCCCAAAAAGGGATGTTCTTTTATTGGCGATGAACTTTACAATTGGAAATGAAAAACAGCGTGCCTACAAGGGGCGCAAGCACAAGAGTTACAAAAAGAAAAATATTTAAATTTAAAAGCTAAGGAAATGAAAATTACATATTCTCTGTTCGAGAGTTTTGGATTCGGTCCTTTGCTTCTATGTTCTTTCTCCCTTTTATACCTCATAGACGATCTCTTTGTGATTAACTACTCTAAAACTGCTTGATCGTCTTATAACTACCCACTTTCTCCGTAGTGGCCATTTTGTCATGAAACTGCCTTTTAACTGCTGCCATTACCTTTCATCGTTCAACCGTTTTCGATTGAATTCCTTGAGTCGTGGGACGTGATAGGGCTACTTTAACAACTGCCTTGATAAATGCATTTCTTGATAACCACGATGCGTTATGTCTGTTGATACCTTGGGCGACTTGAAAGTTTGGGCCGGGCGACCATATAACACTCTATTCGTTCAGATTCTGGGCGACTTGCAAACTTGGGCGATGGCGTTACCGCATTCTTGGGCTCCCTTATTTGGGCCTTCACCTTGATTCATTCGATTGGACTTCGTTCTTTGGGCTATCTGATTTGGAGATCCTCCAATTGGGCTTTACTCCTTGGGCTGTTCGATTTGGGCTGAATTTTTATGTGTCAACACTTATAGTGCTTTTAATCAGATTAAGATAATCATGACCCTGCACAATGTGTTTTGTGTGCAATGTGCACATGCTAGTTTGACTAGATTATGATACATTTTGAAATGTTTTTGCAGGTTAAAATGATTATGGCGACAAACAGACCTGATGTTCTAGACCCTGCTCTTCTTCGTCTTGGTCGCTTACACCGGAAAATTGAAATAGCACTTTCCAATGGACAGTCGAGTTTGGACATTCTCAAGATCCACGCTGCAGGAACCGCCAAGCATGGTGAAATTTATTACGAGGCTGTTGTTAAACTTGCTGAGGTGAGCTTAACAAAACTAGTTTTGTTATTTGACCTGTTATTTCCTGAAAATTGTCCTAATTAGTGTTATTGACATGTTGCGTTCTCCATGGTTTTAACGGGCTGACTTGCGTAATAGTTGCACTGAAGGTGGTATGTCAGCAACATGAAGATTTCACGAAGGTGAAAAATTTCATGCATATTGAAATTTTTAACTCAGAAAATGAGTTAAGTCGCAAAAAATATTACATAATGGGCTGGGGTAGCATCTCGTGTGAATGGTATTTGTTTGCCACACCACCGTGTTAATTTGTGTATAGTGTTCTTTGGACATAGTTGCGATTCATTGATAATCTACTCAGAAAATTTTGAATACGCGCATTCCGTTCTTGCACCTGTTCTGTCTGTTGTACGATCTATGTTTTCCCACTTCAAGACAAAGGAGCTCTGTTTTTCTGCACGATTGTTATGTCACTCCAGGTTTGTTTGAGACGGGATCTAATTTTTCTTGTGCTTGAAAATGTTTCAGGCCGTAAGAAAACTGAATGAAACAAAGAAGCTCGAATCAAGTGCACGTTATAGTGCTGATTTTGGGAAGAAATAGGAACCAGTTTACATATGGGGTGGAGATGGATAGCTGTCGGAGAGTGGTTTATCTCCTCCATTTTAGATGCCTTGCCATATGCCCCTTTGTATTATGCATCTATTATGAATTGAATTGAATTGAATTATTCCTTATTTCTTTTCACGTTCATTAATCATCCAAATATGTCCCCGATGATGCCAATCATTTTCTATATGTATGATCTCACCAAATCAATCGAGGTGGATTTCATTTCTGTTTGATTACAAAACCTAGTCTAATTCTTTGAAGACATTCTTCATAGCATGAAAAACTTAATTACATGCGCCTGAATATGATTGTTGAGGAACTTCATCTTGTGATGTCTTAGAAATAGTGAAACAAACCATCAAAGGGAGAATTAATGCTTTCACCACCATACATGAGGTCACCAAGACCAATTTCATGCACTTGAACGTGAAACAATCAAGCTTCAATTCTACATGACAATATGTAACCAATTTCATAATTGACAACCTTATCATTTTCCTTTTCCTATACAGTGAACTTAACTTTCAACTTTTTATAATCCCCAATTCTTTACAATGTCTCCAGCAACTACCATATCCATCATCTACGAAGATGACCATCTCCTATATCTTCATTCGTGTTAACTGTCAAAACATGGCAACAGAGAAAGATGAAACTGTGGAAGAATCTGTAGAGAAAAGGATAGGAAAGTTTTAGACATCCAGCCAGAACTTCAGCATGGAGACTGATCTTCTCATATGCACCCAAGAACTGATTTGAAAGCACAACAAAGATTAAGAAATAACAGTTTGCCAAGTTTTCTAAGCAATAGAAAGAACGGCACTTACTTCTTTAAATTCATCGAGAAGTTCATTCCTTGCTAGATTTTGACCAGAAAAATCCCTTTCTTCGAGTAGAATAATTATCGGACAAGGATTTATGTCCCTTCGTCCCAAATGAGAAGTGACGTCTCAAGAAAGGCATTCCTGATGAGCTTTTCATGCTGGAACTTGAACTCATTTTGGGACCGCTTCCTTGAATCTCATGGCATTTATGATGATCAAACAAAATGAGATTATCACTATCAACAACACGGTTCCTAGATCGCTTTCTAGCCTTCGAATCCAATTCAGCTTTGATTGCCTTTTCAGACATCTTCATGGTCTGCTTCTCCCCAAAAGTACAGACAGGGCAAGCCGGGTCGTATTTGTTGATCTCAGGTGTCATATACTCCAAGCATTCAGCATGGTAAGCATGTCCACAAGTCAAAACAGCAACCACACCAAGTTCATTGGTAGCTATTATTTTTTGGCTGCCCAACATGGATCTCTCGGTTAAAAGCTTTGCACAAACACCACAACTTTGGAGATCAAAAGAAGGAGATCCTGAATTTCGTCCAGCAGATCTGGTTATTTTGTCCCGACTGAAGCCAGAGTTTTCACTATCAAAAGACCATCTCTCTTTCCGATTCATCATGAGCTCAGAGAATGGAGGAATTGACCAACCATCATATGACCCACCATTCGATCCTTTTGTTGATTCATAGCCCCAAGTAGGGAGAACAAAAGAAGATGCTTCTTCAGAACTTGAGAATGTACGCGACTTGTATTCTGTAATTGGGCTGTCAGATACTTGTCGTAACAGCTGCTGTCCAGGAGAACGGGGACTCCACCTGGAAGGGGTCAACTTTGGAGGAAGCATGTGACTGTGGGATGACAAAGGAGATGTTAACACAGGCGAAACTGAAGGGGCTGAAGGAGATAGCTTAACAGGAGATGGGGACGATACTGCTGCAGATTCAGCGGGTTCATTCAACTGAAAAGTGGTGGCGGAAAAAAAGGAAAAAGATTCAAAACTTCAGAAGACAAAATCAGTGCAACATACATAGCATGTATATTACTGTAATAGATAATTTGATCAATAACAGAAATTATCCACATACCTCAATAGTTTTCCGTGAAACAGGTGGATCTGCAAAACAATTACAGAAGCTCAGTAAATGTGCAAGTACCAGACAATAAGCACTGAGGCATTTGAAAGAAACTTGTTGGAATCCAACAAAATCCACATACATCAAATTGATCCGCATTTGAAATGAGTCTATATCTATATGTATGTACATTACAGTATATAAGCATCTGCAGACGAAATATACATGAACACCCAGTAAGTAAAGAAGACATAATACGAAAGACCAAATACAAAATCAGGAAACCTCCAACTTCACTAAAATTACAAAAAATGAGTCTAAATGATTTATACACCATTGCCAACAAATGACATTTATTTCTAGGTAATTTCTATGTTTCTTACCATCTCATCATCCTATAAAATATATTTTAACTACAAAGACCATAAAAGTGCCTTTATCCTTGTCTGCCCTCCTCCCTCCTCTCCGCCCCCCCCCCCCAGCCCCCAACACATCAGAAGTGTAAATAAGCCCCTATTTGATGGGGATTGAAATCAAATTTTTAGTAGATTTTGATGAAAGTAATTGAAAAGTTGTAGGTCCCATAAAATGTGTGGTTAAAATTAGTTGTTGACTTTGATTTAGATTAAAATCTGGATTTTAATTTGTACCAAACTGGGGCTAAATTTCTTTTATCTGCTCATGGGCTTCTGTCCAATCTCATCCCACCAGCAGTGTAACTGTATAAGTGAAGAATCCATTGACTTTCCCATCCTCCAATCAATTTTTTCTTTCTTGGGAATTCTTTTTGGTCTAGAAACAAATTGTGCTGATTTTCAGATGGTAGGAAACAGTTAAAACAACACTTATTTAGTAGTCAAGTGAAAAATTAAAATGCAGGCGACACTATGTTTGCCAGCATTTAATAGGGCTACGAAAATGGAAGCAGATCAAATTTAAAGAAGATCGCTTACAATTCCCTTTACAAGGTCTAATCTTATGCTACCAAACAACTAGAATTACATCCTAAATCACAGTATAACTAGTAAGGAAGATTATTCTGTTCGCATTTACATGAGCAATTGGAACTTTCCATTTTAATAATGTTTCATTCAGGGGTTATACTTCATATTTACAATAAATCTCAAATTTTAAAGATTTGAAATACTATTTAGAGATTTACCAGAAGATGGAAACCTTAAATTTCCACCATTTCCATCAGAAACTGGGGACTTTCGACATGCAAGTGACTGGAAACTATCTAATGAACTTCCCTCCTCAGAAGCAAATGCAGTTTCTGCAGTGGTAGCAGATTTAACATCCAAACGATCATTGCCTCCACCTTCATTAAGTAGAATATTAGTTGACATCTCTTCACCTGCTACCCGTCCACGGTTATCCAATAGAAAGCTCCATGATGGAGAATGTCGAACGCGCCACTGCAGAGCTTCACTGGGTGTTTGACTTGTTATAGTTCCATCTCTTGCAGCAACACAACATGCAGACCCCATTCTTTCTCACACACCCAGTACAAATTATTAACTTATGGGTAACTGTCTTTCACATGAACGATCTCAGCACAAGGGACACGAACTCATACAAACATGAGGAATCTGCAATTAAAAATCGAATGCCAACAATCAGACATCAATTAATTGCGATCTCATAATAACTAATAAACTTTACTGAGCCAACAGTGAAAAACCTTCTAAGTTTTACCTTGACCTTACTAGATAACCCAAATCTCTGATAACTTAGCTGACTTACAGTACAAAACTTATATACCAAGAATTAGGAAATTATTATAGTAATATATCATTCAAGACTGTTTAGAGAAAAATAAAGTATAATATAAAGATATCGACAACAATCAGTTATCAAACATGAGAGGATTTGAAAAACTGAATATCATGATTGACACCACAATAATCACAAAAAAAAGGGAAATGGAAACTGAAGAACTGTGAGGTATAATTTCCCAACTAGTCTTTACACAAACTACTGTACGCATATTTTTGGAGTGGTTTACAGTACTTAAATACAATCATTCCCTTAATCAAAATCCGAACAAATTAAAAACTAAAAGCTGCACTCAATCATAAAATAAATTAGAATTACAGTAACATTTTGACTGTTTAAAAAAGACCTAAAGCAACAGGATAAAGTCCACTAATGATAGTCAAATCAACCAATTCTGATAAAATAACAATTCCCCATCTCCACAGCATATACCTAAATCCACAGCAAACTAATAATACAGGAAAATAATTTTGGTTAATGAAGTGAAAATCAAACCGATAAATTTATATCCCGGGTACAAAAGCCAGATGCATAATAGCGGATCATAAAACTATTTCCGAAGAGAATTCTAGTGAAACATCAAAAAAATAAGAAGAGTTCTATACTGCAGTGGTCATGAGAGATCCGAAATTCATGCCCGAATAACTGTAATCACAGTCAACATATTTACCATACCTCTAGCATTTCATAATAATCATTTTTGATCCACATAATTTCCATTCATATATCCCAATTAACACATCTAACTCTCTCACTAGCACACGTCTATGATAATAAATAAACACAATCAAATATATATTACATATCTATTGGAGTAATAATAAATTTATTCCTAGCCTCCGTATAAAAACAAGCGAATCTTACGTGATCGAACCTGTACGTTTCCCACCGCTCTGCAACCCTAGAGAGAGAAGTGTAGAGAGCGAAAGTAGGTGAGCGCGAGAGCGTGGAATATACAGATATGTATAAAGTAGAGCAAGACTGCGTTTGTTCTTCTACTTGTATATTTGCAGGAAGGAGTTTTGGACGGTTTTCTTAACGCCGTCAATTTTTAATGGGGAAAAGCCGGTGTTATAACGGCGTTAAGGGACATATGTCGTAAGCAAGTCTTTTATTAGTGCCTATTTTCTTGATTAAAAATATTCAAGCAGCTGAGTGGTACAATACGTTAATGCTGAAAAGGATTGTACAATACGGGTTCTTTCTTTCTTTATTTATTTATTTATTTATTTTTTTTTTTTTTTGGTTTAGAATTGTGTCAGCGACTCAGCGTGAGGACTGATAAAGTGAACCTTAACTGGTTTCTTATGGGGTACGCGGAGTGCGTAGTACGCATTCCATGCTTTTCAATTCACACACGTAAGTATCATAAAATTGGAAGCTTTTTTCATTTACTAGAAATAAAAAATAAAAAAATAAATCCATTAATTCATGATTGGTCATTTGTAATGACGGAAACTATGTGCGGATTATGAAATTAATGTGGAATCTATGTACAAAAAGATGACAACTCACATTTCTCTACTTGTAGTACAGAGAAAATTTTGGTGCATAGAAAGAAATATTGAAGGTGGATTTTGCTAGAACTAGAGAGGAAGTAGCTATGCCTCCATTAATTGAATTTTTGATTCTTTATTGTAAACAAGAAAAAAACTACGTAGAATTATAAATTATTGTGGAATTTCTATAAAAAACGATAGACAGCTCACATTTCTACTTATGGGAGTAAAGCACAAATTTTGATAAGGAATGACAATTTGAACAATTAAAATCGAAAGTCTCGATTAACCAAACCGAATGAGGTGAAAAAAATCGAATCGATGGTTCAATGAGATGGATATGATATTTGATTTTAATGAATCGGTTCGTGACGGTGCGGGTATGGTATTTATGCCGTGGAACCGAAATCGAACCGATTACCTGCTTAAAAAAAATCATAGAGATGACAATATTTAGTGAGAAGGAAGTTGATGAAGAGGTACATTTTTTTATTTGAATTTTAGTTAAAACCATTCTGAATTAGATAATATTGTTGTATTCTCTACTTACATTTCTTATTTACTATATACAAATCAAATTTTGGTGTCGACATATGCTAGTAAGAGTTGGGGGAAGAATGGAGATTGAATATGAGTTAAAGTTGAAGTTTTTGAATTATTGAGCATAAATCAAGTAACTACAATGCACAAGAATCAAGAATGATGGAAAATTTTAGTATTGTTATATTCATAATATTGTTTGTTAGATTTGTATTTTGCAATTGGAATTTGGAACAATGTTTGCATTTTCGTTTGGAATATTGTGTTTTTATTTTCATTAACTCTCTTTTCATAAATTGTTTTATATTAATTTGACAGATGGACCTATAAAAAATAATTTATTTTCGTGATTATTAATCGAGTCGAATCGATATACGAGCCGAACCGATTTACGTGATTATGGTGCGGTTATGATATAACAAAAAATTTGACGGTTCGGTGATGGTTTTGGCCAAAACCAAACCGTTGTCATCCCTAATTTTGATGCATGTATATATTGATGTCGTTTTTAATATAAAAAATAAAAACTAACGTTTGTATATTTGAACTATCTCGACATGTATTTGGTGAAATATTGTTGTAGTCGCCCTTCATTATAACGAGGGAAAATGGTGTGTGGATTGTGAAACTAATATAGAATCTTTCCATCGCAAGATGACAACTCATCTCTACTTTTAGCCTTTGTTTGAACCACATTATTTCAATAAGAATGTATTTTTGAATAGTGCATTGATGAAAAATGTATAGTTAACAAATAAAGAAAAGTTTTGAATTTGCGTGTAATATTATTTTATTGAAAAATGTGCGGCTGAAATGATGTCAAATTACTATTTAAGAATGTACTTTTTTAAAAGAATGTGGGTCAAAGATGGCCTTAGTGTAGGAAAAAAAATTGGTGCATAGAGATATCGGTGTGATTTTTTTGACATAAAATTAACAGACTTAAAAAATTGAACTGTCTTGACATGTACTTCGTGAAATGTTTTTGAAGTTGCGTCCACTTCTTTTTATGGATAAACTTTACTTGACAATTCTCATTTTAGTAGTCAATATAAAAAAAGAAAAATAGTGTACGGATTGTGTAACTAATTTAGAATCTCCATATAGAAAGATGACAATTCACATTTCTTCTTCTAGTAGAGAAATTTTTTTTGGTTCACAAAGTTATTCGCGTCATTACACTTGAAAACTTATACTATCTTAGATAAATTAATAATGTCTAATTTACGTAACTTCACAGTTCAAGCAATATTTGACTTGCAAGATTCATCATCCGTATATTGTTTAAATAAAAAGTCAAATATATTTGAAAATAATTAACAAAATATTGCATTAAAGTGTATTTGAAAACTGTTAAGCTTAACCAACTAATTTACAAAATAATATTTTAGCCTTTGGTTGTCCCATTTTTTTTTTTTTTCAAATCTATTTTTCTCTCTTTTATTTTCAATCGCACATTTTTCAATAAAATAATATTATACTCAAATCTAAACTTTTTTCTAATTTTTAAATTACATATCTTTCGTCAAATTATTATTTCAAAATGTATTTTGAAAAAACACAAGGGCACAAACATTACTTGACGTATGTAACTTGAAATTGGATGGTGCAACAGTAAGCTCGCCTATGCTTGCCACGTGTAAAGTTCTTGAACCATATTGATTACGTACGTGGTCGAGTTATAAGTTTACAGCACAGGGGGAGTTTCATGTTGTGGTCGGAAGTCATCCGATGAACTACTCTACCCGATTTACCCTTCCACTTGTCGCACATAGCACGTGCATAAGAATTGTAACAGGGAAAATGTCAAGGACATTTATGGCAACTCGAACAAAAAGTGCAAATCAAAAAATATAGGTGATTTCTATTTGCTGGGGACGTGTCAAAATATAGGGTTAGTCAACGAAGTTGTATTTAAAAATAATAATAATATTATTTTTATTTTTTTTTGTAATTCTATATATAGTGTTTTACTGCCGATGGTTTACGTCTTAGATGACACCTTGGTCTATATCGTCCCGATAAGAGCTCGACATCAATACAAAAAGCATCGTTGAGCAAGAGAGTCCTAATTCATTAGCACTCGGAATTACGTCGAAGACTTCGATTCTACTCAAACAACAGCAAGCAAAATATTTTTAGAAGATGTTTGATGAAGATTTTGTGAAAATAATTTTTTTGGAGAAACTGTAGTTAAAAAAAAAAAAAAAGTATAGGATAAGATGCAATTTTTTATTTTATTTTTTATTGGAAGTGTATGTGATCAAAAATGATTTTGAGAAAAAATAAGTTTCAATGAATATCTATCAAAGAGGACTAAGCTTGACACATTTGAGCTTAAGCCATCACAATAAAAGATCAACCAGCTCAACCAAAATTAGCACGAATGTAATATTGTACTCATGCCTGTTTGATTTCTATTTTTTATTTTTATTATTTTTTTTATAAAAAATACATTTTAAAATAGTAGATTTATGGAGAATGTGTGCTTAAAAAATAAGGAAAAAATTTTGATTTACGTATAATATTATTTTATTGAATAATGTGTGATTAAAAAGAAGAGGAATAATAAAATAGTTCGAAAATAATGGGGATCACTAGAAAAATTTCCAACGAATTGCATCTTTTGATATTTAGAAACGAATTATCCATTAATAAAAGTTATTCACTTTCAGCTACAATAATCAGCAACGAATTTTTCGTTAGTAACGATGATATCTCTTTACCAACGGATATTCCGTGCCTCATGTAACTGTTTAACATTTGGATCTTTCACCTACGAAATATCCATAGGTAATTAGAAACAGATTATTCGTTGGTAAAAGTAATTTATTTTCAACTAAGATAATCAGCAATAGATTTTTCGTTAATAATGACGATATCTCTTTACAAATGGATATTTCGTGCTTCATGTAATCGTTTAATAGTTGGACCTTTCACCTATGAATATTTCGTTGGTAATTAGAAACGGATTATCTATTGGTAAAAGTAATTCAATTATTTCACATCGAAAGTTCACAACAAAGTCTTCAAAACTGCCCTCCATAGATTAATTTGTGGTCCAATAAGTGATTAAACAATATTTTAGCATTTCAATTCGGTTGCCTGAAAGTTAAAAAAAAAAAATTAGAATTATTAAATAAATAATAATAACAATAGTAAAAAAATAAATAATTTTTTTTTTACCATGCCTCACACCTATGCAGCTATTTACAACATTGATCTTTACTAATTGTAATAGTAGACATTTATCAACAAAAAGTCGCTTGATATTGGTTAAGATTTTTACCAACAAAAAATTCATTGGTAAAAGATTCACTCTTTATTAACGAAAAATTCGTTGGTAAAATATTTACTCTTTACCTACGGCAGGATCTGTTGGTTATTATCAGTGACCCTCATATTAGCAACGGATTTACGGTTGCAAATATTTCGTTGGCAAAGAGTAATAGCAACGGATATCAAAATTTCAGGAACGAAAAATTCGTGCTTGAAACCATGTTTTTTAGTAGTGGATCAAACAAGTATGATTAAGTTGACCTAGAATTCTATAGAATGCGACACGAGCATATGAGACACCATGATATAACATGATCCTCTTATTCCGACTTTAAAGATGTAAAAGCATACCAACATTGAAGAGATCATCAAATCAACTATTCCTCATGTGGAACTTACTAACAACGACTATTGTTATAAGAATCCCATTTGTTATCGTGTAAAATAGGTTTTTGCAGAAGTGTGATGCTTTCAATTATCCAAAACCAAAATGACAAGGACATCCCACCAAATACTCAAATGTGCAGGATGCCTTCTTCACACCTCAAGTACTAGGCCCACTTTTTCCTCGTCTTTTAGAACAATGCTAGTAAGACAAGACGTTTTCGAGAGAAAATGCAAAGAAGTCTATTAACTATTTAGTACATATATGTTAAATGGTACTATGTCGAGATGAAAGTGTCACAATCTAAGTAACGTAC